CATTGACAGTGAAGTGAAGCCAATGCGGAAGTGTCACCAAACTCAGATCAAACTGTCAAACTAGGCAGTGCTGATCAGATATGGATCAAGATTCTGTTACTGCATTGACTATTTCTCGCTTAAAATCGTTTCAGAAACATATTTTAGTGGACTGTTTAGCCGTCCACTATGTAAATGTACCAGATTTGGCCATATAGGCTAATTTCAATCTGCATTCTTTGGCAGGTTAATTGGATATCATAAACATTAAAAAAAAAAAAAAAAAATACAAAGAAAAGTAAATTGATGTATTTTAACATTGTAATCCTGCTAAATAATAATTTTTTTACTAAATGTAACTAATCTGTTTTTGTAGCTGTAATGGATTAATTACCTATTTTTGTATCCTGATTACGTAACTTACTTACATTACATGTAATCCAAAATGGCTGCTATGAAAACAGGGTAATAAACTATAGGACAAATGAACTTCTCCTGTTACATAAAATGTGTTGATGCAAACAACAGTCACACGACATTGTGAGGATATAATACATTTCTTTCTTTACAACAAATATATAGATAACAGAATACATTACATTTATAAAACAACTTTTACAACAACACATACGTGTGAATGAGTCTCTAAATGTGTGTATTCACAGGATTATATTGAACAAAGTGCAATTTCAATTACCATTAATATCGAACATTTATCTTTATCAGTCTTCCATTTATCAGCCAAAGTGAGTGATAACAATATAGATATATACACTTGAATGAGCTCACATTAGCTTTAATGACTTTAGTATAACTGTAAAAATAATTACAGCTGAAAACATTCAAGTTACAGATAACACCGTGCTGCAGATACAGAAGAGATTGTGCTAAATTAAGTTGTTTTTTAATGGAAATTACCCAAAATTCCCTGCTTCCAGCTCCTTAAATGTAAATATTCACTACTTTTCTTCATCTTATACAACAGTAAACTGAAAATCTTTGTGGTAAACTCGCATACTTGGCTTCATAAAGAAAATAACTGGCACAAAAATAGTCTTTAGTACCTTTTTTCTTAAACGTAGTGACTTCGCTGTGATACATTTACGTGCATGTGCGTATTTTAATGGTGCAAATTTAAAGAGATATATTTACATAGTCTGACATGTAACATTAAATATTGAACAAGAATCTGTCTGAAAACTTCTGACATCATTGCACGCCTTTACAACATCAAGACTGTCGCACATCACGCATTAAAAGACGTAACGGACAAGTGAGTATTTGAAGTTTCGGTTAGCTTTGTAGCACCGGCAACGTCAACCCGGAGAAGTTTTATATTAGAAATGTACAGTATGGGTCCCCAACAATTGGGTTAAAAGGTCAAATTTTGAGGTTATTTATATTTTTAATTAGTTGGACCTTCATTTTGGAATCAAGAAAGCTTTATGTTTATACGTAACAGTTGATTTTGTCATTGATTTGTGTCTTTTGCCGCTGAGTTTATTTATTAAACATGTAAATAACTTCCACAAATCCACTCGAAATTAATAAAAATCATCCCACCGGGAGTCCAAATGGCCATTTTCTACTTGAAATGCCTGAATAAACCTCCAAATCAGACTATAAGCAGTTGTTAAAACATTTTGTGTACAGGTGATTATCCTTATTAATGCTAATTATGCTAATTGTCCAATATATGCAAGTTGGCGTCTGGCCACTTTCTCCCCCATACATTTACATTTCTAACATAACACTCAACATTTCCAGATGCACAAACATCATAATAAACATCCACAGTCATAATGTGCAACAGGAAAACAACCCCACAACAGTCTATATGGGTGTAAAAGACGTGTATGCTAACATATGAAAGCCAGTAGTTTGCTCCTCAGTGTGGACAGACGCTCATGACGCTAGCTGTTAAATTACAGCAGACCGCTCCACCGAATCGGTGCCTTTTCAATACATTGCATAAATATGCATGAAAACGCTCTAATAATACATTATATTATTAAGGAAAAGTTTCTTGAACTTTGTTCAAATGCAATTTAAAGATGAATCATGTAAAACCTTTAACTAAAAAGCCTTCAACTTGAAATATAATGACTATAATCTTATTTTTTTGTATTGTGTGACTTTTATATATAATTTAGGTATAAAATACTTAAAATACGCATTTTAGTCGTGTCCCCACTCAGTCCTGTTACATCATTTGAGTGTTTTAAAGACAAAAAGTAACTTCTCTCACTCTATTTTCTGGATTTTCTATCATAATGACTGAGAATATCAATCTTACCTAAATGATCTCTTATTTGTTTTTATCATTATTTTTATTTACATGTTCTTGTGCTATTATCACTGTTGTGTGTTCATGTAATTGCTGAAAACTGGTACGAAAAATGTAAAATGTTCCACTTAGAAACAATGTAAAAATAAATAAATAAAACAGCCTGAGATTGACAATGACAAATTTTGAATAGTAAAGTTTAAAATTTTGGCACCGATCCGGCAGGAATTGATTTGTTTTGACTGTCAAACCCTCCCCAAAAAAACCTCCAACCTTGCACTGACTTCGAACAGTGAACCTAAACAAACCAACACTAAAAGTTGTCGTGGAGTAAACTTTTCCACTCTGAATCGGACCAAAGAAAACAACCTACGAGGTGTGACCGCACCCTCGGATGAGATCATACCTTCCCTCTTTCACTGCTACCGGCAGATTAAGACCAGTTTGGTGCTTTCCGGTGGTCAGGATGCAGGTGGGTACTGCGGAAAGCTTCTCGGGGGAGGGTTAAGGTCCCTAAACGGCTCCGAAAGACGTGGACCCTGCAGGCGGGAGAGCAGCGTGGTCCGGCGGATGCTGCTGTCCGAATCCTGGTGGACGAACTTCTTCCTCAGCGGGCGGCAGCACAGCAGGCTGCCGGCGAAGTCGGAGAGGAGGTGGCCGCTGAAGATCATGTAGATCCAGGGGTTGCAGCAGCTGTTGAGGCTTGCCAGCAGGGCGGAGAGCGTCACGGTGGCGTTCTCTGAGTCTACGGAGGGTGGTGGAAACAGAAAAAGATGCAGATTTATGAGGCACGCTAGGGGGATGTCAACGGCTAAACTGAGGTTTACTTTTTCTCTCAAGGGAGTCGTACTGTAGGTCTGACTCACTGACTTGCCTGTTTTTGAATGTTTATTCTCGCCTCCAGACCCAGTTTGAGCCTCTGCTTTCCTTTTCTAAACACTGCACAGGTCTGCAGCTAAGAACTGCTTTCATTACAGGATAGTTTGACATTTATGTTGCCGATTGACATTTAGCTAAACCACAACCTTGGGACAGTGGTTGTAAATTCTAGATGAAATTAAAAATTTAATTTTAACCCTTTTAAGAACACATCTTCAGTTATATTGTTCCCATATTTGACAATTTAGGCCAAAAAAAGTAACCTTAGCTGACTTAGCCCCCAGACACTGGTTTCACAAAACACTGTGTATTGCGTGAGAAAATAAAACTTAAATGATCAAATTTGAAAGTCCATTGTGTAGGATTTGATGGTATCTAGCGGTTAAATTGCAGATTACAGCTAACTGAACACCACTCGCATCCGTATTTGACGATCTGGGAATGAGAAAGCGCTCCAACATCTCCACAAAACACCTAACGAAAAAACATCTAGATTTATTTTTAATGAAAATATTTTTATGAATTATATTTCTGCCACACTTTAAGTTATTTAGAAAAGGAACAAATGACAAATACTTCACATTTCTGTCTGGCTACTATACATTTGCTAAAAAATTAGGGCTGTGTATTGGCAATAATCAGTCAAAATTATATATTTATTATTAAATTATATTGTGATAGTATAACAGCAAGGCAACTAGGGACTACATATTGTGATTTTTAACACCAGAACTGTGAGGTTTGCACTTATTTGTCCTTTTTACATCCAACATCATAGCCCTTGGTTAACGTTTACAGCTCCATCTTTTTGGACTTAAAACACAAAAATCCATAGTGTTTTTGAGAATTGATCACAAAACAAAATGTAACAATTTTCTATATTTTTCTGACACCCTGTATGAGAAACACAGGTAGAAACAGTTGTTCTCGGGATATCTTCCAGCAAAATGCACCTCAATCAGCTTCTTCTTGGTTCAAGGACCTAAAAACTTGCTCTGAACAAAGGACAATTATTGAGGCTGTGCACTCGGCAGGGAGTTGATGATATTGCAGCTCTCTAGAGGAGGTAAAAATCTTTTTCTATTCCCCAGGATGAATTTTGTACTTTCATATCTTTGATGTTAGTACTTCTCCCGTCATACAGCCACTCTAGGTTGATTATATATGATGTTTTGCCTCACGTCTATTTTGACTGAAGATGCAGTAGTGTCGAAATGTTGTAATCTGGATAAAAAAACAAGGCAACTGTTACATGAAAAAAAGATACATTTAGTAAAAATTGGGATTATTTGCAGGATTAATATCGGTTTTTCTTTAAAAATAAACTGAGTAAAAGACATAATTGATGATAATAATCTCAATTTCCATTTTATTTTCAAAGCTAACATTGTTTATTCGATACACTTAAAATACTACTTAATATTTATTCTATGGTTTTAATTTGCATATTTACTGTTGAGGTAATCCAAAAGTAATGTAATCGAGTTACACTACTTTAATTCTATGATACCTTGATAACTTTACTGTTTTATTACGTTACATTTTCTTTAAAATAACCCAACACTGATCTGTTCGCACAATTAATAATACACATTGGTATGTTTTCATTAGCATAAAATCACCATGAAAATAGGGAGAAGCCTCCAAGAAACCTATTGTGAGTAGCAAACGGTTATCTCAGTTATGTTCACCAACTACAGCTGGCGATGTTAAGTATAAGGTTTACTACATGTATACATTTTTTTATACCTCTTTGAGTGTCAACTTCTGCCCTGTTAGTGGCCGAGCTAAACTTACAACGGCAAACGTGTTTGCAAACCGACCGTGAGCAAGATTAGCAAGAACTAGCAATGACAAACGAGTTGGCAAGAACTGTTAAGCTTTCAATTTTCCCTTTTTAACTTTTTTGTGAAATAAATGGTGTGGAAGGAGGAAGGAAACCCAACAAGAGAAAATAGGGAGACACTCTTGACACATGTTGTGTCTAAGCTAATCACTTTGTTGTGTGAACGTCTCAATATAATCAGCTCCCTAACAAAGCTCAGATTGTCCTCGGGAATGTTTTCCAAACACACATCAATGAAGCAACAGCACCAATTAATCATATTTTAAAAAAAAAAAAAAAAAAAGATGTGGGCGGTGATTTAGTGTGACTAAGCTAATGGATAGCTTTCCAGCTACCAGTTCACAGACTCTCGCTGTCACCAAGCTTTTCCAGCCCCCACGTTTCATGTGGACTTGTCACTTTAATCCTGCCGCATTAATCCTGCCTACAAAGTGATGAAATGGAGACGTGGGCGGTGATTTTAAGGTCTGGAATTAAATAAAAACATAACATTTTCAGCTTCATTATCAAGCATTTCAAGGCTAAAAACTACTGTCAACTTTGGATCTATAATTCTATTATATCAAAATATATTCTGTTCTGTTTTTCATAACAGTTTAAGGTCGAGGTGAATCCGCCCTGAGAAACTGGTTCAATTTTGATTTTACTGCACACAGACAGGAGTGTTTTCTTTTTATTCTGACCAATTATTGTTGGATTGCTGCTGTTAAGACGTTTCTGACTTCTTTTATGCCAGAAGACGACTGAGAACTCGATGTTCCTCTTAGTCCAAAAAGTGCTTCTTTTTTTTTTATCAGGCAGTAAGTCTTTGGAAACAAATGAAATTCTTCAGGTGAGTGAGCAGCTCCTTTAGGATGACTGAGGCTGCAAACTTACTCATATCCTCACCCAAATGATGTGAAACTACACTGACTGCACATGAATTTCAATGAAATGCCAAATATATCTATATAATATATCCTTTTAGAGCAAGTTTGGCCACATGCAACTGACATATTTTACACTTTCAGTACAATTTATAAATTTTTATATGCGTTTTTAATTGATCGTTTTAAATGTGATGAAAATGCAGATTTTTTTTGGCTTTAATCCACTCAGACGATCTTTTCTTTGACGTTTTGGCCACATTTAAAGTGTCCATCTGACATGTTTTACACTTTTTCAGCGTCTTATGCATTTTCATGTGCTTTTAATTGATTTTGTTTAAAATGTGATGAAATTGTTCCAAACATAAATTAAAAATACAGATTTTCTTTGGCTTTTATCCAAGCTTCGACTCAGGCGATCTATGCTTTGAAGTTTTGGCCACATTTAAAGACATATTTTACACTTTTTCCATGGGACTTACACATTTTACATATAATAGATAGTTTAGAAAGTTGTAAGTATTCCGCACGTAGCAAAATTGTTTCCGAAGATAAATTAAAAATAGTTTCTTTTTTTTTTTTTAGCTTCTGTCTCAGGCTAAAAACCTCAGACATGGCAGTCAGTGTAATGAGATATTCATGTGGTTGTTTTTCCTACTAAAATGTTGGCAGGTTGATGCTCTACACAAATACAGCTGCTTTTTTATATTTTTACTTCGGTGCAGCACTGGCTCAACTGCTTTATAACTCCAAGCAGGTACAAGACAGGGAGCCTCCCATTGTTTCTTACGTAAATGCAACCAACATTGGTGGAGCATCTATTTGACTTAGTTCTTTATAGTTTTTAACTTTTTGGGTCCGGACTGAGATCTCAAAAGTATTGCGTCAAATTTAGTGATCCTCCTGGTTAATTTTAGTCTTTTTCTGTAGCGCCACGATAGGGTTTTAATGAAATATCTCAACATTTATTGGATTTATTGCCATGAAATTTGCCTCAGACATTCATGTTCCCCTGAGGATGAATTACAAGAACTGAGGATCCTCTGACTCTTCATCTAGCGCCATCATCAGGTCAATATTAACACTTTTTATGACCAAATATCTGCAATGCTAATGATCCTAATTAGCAACTGTTAGCATGTTAACACACTAAACTTAAGATGGTAAACAATATCCCCTTAGCTAAACATTAGCATGTTAGCTCAAAGCATAATCCTCAGGGGACATTTATATCATGGTACAATGTTTCTATCTGCTTTTACTTTGAAAATCTCTGCATGAATACAGTAAATTAAATACTTGCACCTATTATAAATTGGTGACATTTTCCATAAGTAATTGGGATTATGGCATAATTAACATATTATATAACTTATTTTAGTTCCTTTTATACAACAAATAGTTTTTTAAAAACAGTATATTGCTTGAAGGAAATAAAACCTTGATTATTCTGGAATATGTTAATGTTACATTTATAAATTGTATGTATTTTAATGTTAAAAGTGTTTTAAAGTTTAGTGTTTAATGTTGAATAAAGTTTTAGTGGCTGCAACACAATTTTGGTGTATAAAGTGAAATGTTTTGGAGCCACAAGCCAGAAACAAGAACCACTGGAGATGTTAAAGCTCCTCTGAGCAGGTGGACTCACCGTCCCAGGAGAAGGTCTCGTCCCACACCGACCACATCTGCACGGTGAAGAAAGGCGCCCAGCACACCACGTACGCCACCACGATCACGAAAGTCATCTTCACCGTGCGTAATTTGGCGCGGGAGATGGTGGTGACGCTGCTGACCGAGTTCCTGCCCAGGATGCCGTTCTTGGTGGCCTCGGCCACGGCGCCCACGCTCTTCCTCCGAGTCTTATACTTGAGGTTCTTCCAGATCGTGTGGCTGATTAATCCGTAGCAGAACACGAGCACGGCCACGGGCACCAGGAAGATCCCGGCGGTGATCCAGGTGATGTACGCGCGCAGCCCCCACGGCTCCACGAAGTGTCCCCAGCAGTCGTAGACGGCCGAGCCCGGGTGCACCTCGCTCAGGGAGAAGATGAAGTACTGCGGGGTGCTGAGGAGCAGGCTGCACGCCCAGGTGGAGCCGATCATGATGTGCGCACGCTGCGTCGGCTGATGGAGCGTCTGCAGCGGGTGGCAGATGGCGATGTACCGGTCCAGGGTCATCATCACCATCATGTAGGTGGAGGCGTACATACCCAGCACCTGCAGGTGCTTCACGATGCGGCACAGAAAGTCCGGCCCGTAGAAGCGGAAGGTGATCTCCCAGCAGAGCTGCGGCAGCACCTGGAAGAAGGCGACCACCAGGTCCGCCAGGCTCAGGTGCTTCATGAACAGGTGCATGCGCGACGGTTTCCGCCGGGTTTTGTACATGGCGAGCAGCACGCTCACGTTCCCGACCACCGCCGCGAGAAACGCGAGGCTCAGGACGGTGATCTCGATCTTGGCCACCTCCTCGTTCCGTCCAAACGGGTCGGTGTCGTTCCTCTTCCCGCTGAGGTTCCCGGCGGCGGCAGCGGTCTCCAGCTGCTGCGTAAAGCTGAACTCGCTGCAGTTTCTGCCCGTGCTGTTGTCGGTGCTCTCCGAGGGGAAGAGCATGGTGGCCACTTCTCCTCCGGGCGCACGGAGGGCGGCTGTGCGTTATACCGTCACCACCGGGAGACTGTGGCTGTCCCAAAAAATTACTCCACCATGCACTGGGGAGGGGTGATCACACGTTGGATACACCGCTCAGAAACCAAAGA